GTCAGCCTAGCTCACAGCAACCTCAAACTCCTGGGCTCAAGCGATCCTCCTGCCTCAGCCTCCCAGGTAGCTGGGACTACAGGCACACACTACTGTGCCCACCTAATTTTTTCTATTTTTAGTTGTTTGACTAATTTTTTTCTATTTATAGTAGAGATAGGGGGTCTCACTCTTGCTCAGGCTGGTCTCGAACTCCTGAGCTCAAGCAATCCTCCCGCCTCGGCCTCCCGGAGTGCTAGGATTACAGGTGCGAGCCACTGTGCCAAGCCCTCTTTCATTCTTTATATTGTAATGTGTGTTTTATCTTTTTTTGATTAATCTGGCTACAGAATTGTCAATTTTACTAATATTTTCAAAGAACTAGCTCTTGGTTTCATTGTTTTTCTGTTTTCAGTCTCTGATTTTTCCATTTATTATTATTTTTTTGCTTGCTTTGGATTTAACTTGCATTTTTCTAGTCATTTAGGTAGAAATTTAGATTGTTGATTTGAGACCTTCATTCTCTTCTAATGCTATAATGCTATAAATTTCCCTCCATATACTGTGTTATCTGGGTTTCATGAATTATGATATATTGTATTATCATTTTCACTCAATTCAAAAATTTGTAAAAATTCTCCTGTGACTTTAACCTATGGGTTGTTTAGAAATGCATTGTTTGCTGATGGCTTTCTTTGATTGATTTCTAGCTTAATTCTATTATGGTGAAGAACATAGGAGGGTACAGTGGCTCACCTGTAATCCTAGCACTTTGGGAGGCCAAGGTGGGAATTGTTTGAGGCCAGGAGTTTGAAACCATCCTAGGCAACATAGTGAGACCTCGTCTCTAAAAACAAAATTGAAAAAAATTAGCTGAGCATGGTGGCACATACCTATAGTCCTAACTACTTGGGAGGTGGAGGCAAGAGGATCACTTGAGCCCATGATTTGAGGATTGCAGTGAGCTATGATGATGCTGCTGCACTCTAGCCCAGGCAACAGAGCGAGACCTTGTCTCAAAAAAAAAAAAAGAAAGAAAAAAGAAAAAAAGACATAATGTGTATGATTTTAGTTCTTTTAAATTTGTTGATGTTTCTTTTATGACCCACAATAAGGTCTACCTTGTTGAATGTTCCATGTGCACTTGAAAAGTGTGCTTATTCTGCTGTTTCTGTTCTATAAATGTCAATTAGGTCAAGTAGATCGATAATTTTGTTCAAGTATTCTATATCTTTACTGAGTGTGGGGGCTTTAGTCAATATAATCAAGGGTCGGCCGGGCGTGGTGGCTCACGCCTGTAATCCTAGCACTCTGGGAGGCCGAGGCGGGTGGATGGCTCGAGGTCGGGAGTTCGAGACCAGCCTGAGCAAGAGCGAGACCCCGTCTCTACCAAAAATAGAAAGAAATTAATTGGACAACTAAAAATATATAGAAAAAATTAGCTGGGCATGGTGGCGCATGCCTGTAGTCCCAGCTACTCGGGAGGCTGAGGCAGAAGAATTGCTTGAGCCCAGGAATTTGAGGTTGCTGTGAGCTAGGCTGACGCCATGGCACTCACTCTAGCCAGGGCAACAAAGCAAGACTCTGTCTCAAAAAAAAAATATATATATATAATCAAGGGTCAAGTATGGGTTTTGTTGCTGTTGTTGTCATTGTCTTCAGTGTACACAAATGGAGCTCTCTCTCTTCTTGTCCTTCCCACAGCAGTAGTCTGTTGTTTGTTAGTCAGTCCTAGGCTCACGGTAGGACTCTATTCTTCTGTCTCAGTCCATGTGCCTTGTCCTTGGGAGTGGATTTTTCTCACCTTTGGATGTTCCTTTCCCTTCTCCATTTGGCAACTCAGCTCTGCCTGGTGTCTGTAGCAAGTATTGGGTGAAAGAGTCATACTTGCCCTTTCCCTAGTGCCAGTTTACCTCTGCTTTGTGTTGGTGTAGGATCCTGGTCCAAGAGAATTTTCTTACCTTCCTATGAGGCAAGAGGGCTTTTGCA